ATCTTTTCTTCTTCAATCAACTTAATTAAAACCTATAAAAGATTAAAAATAGCAGCCACAACATTATCAAATTATTTCTCATAATTTTCAGCAATCACAAACCATATATTTAGCCACAAAATAGCCCAGCCAAAGAGACAATCATATCTCATGTTCTTTCAAGTGCTATCTTATGGTTTTTCACTCAAACAACACAACCAACACAAGATTAGCCTTAGGCACAATCAAGAAGATGTTATACATACCTTGGACAACATCTCCAACTCAAAACCCTATCTCAACTTAGCTCACAATAGCCCTTAATCACACCACAACATCATTGAAGCATTCTCTTGTAATCTTTAACACCTTTGATGATAATTTGAGTTGATTTCCCTTTAGTTTGGTTCATGGGATGCTGGACCTGCTCTTAGAGAGAATTGAGAGTGTTTTGGTGTATTATTTCTGTGTATAATGACGAGATATACAAGGGAGAAGATAATTTATAAGCCCACCGCCTCAATTCTCCAAGTAGGTGGGTAAGTTGCCTGCTTGGCAGCTTGAGCGGTGCAACTTCGGACGTTTGTATCTCTCCAATCCGACATTGTATTGACAAACTATTTGCAGCGTTAGAAACTAGACACATAGGGCTTTAATTTCATATAAATATCTCCATGTAAATCTCAATAGATTGGGAGAAAATTGTGTCGCAACTGACCTATAAAACTGCTAGTTTCTCCGAAGTGTGGCGATGTGACTTATCGATCCTACTATATTAATTCATATTTCTCTACCCCTATGTCGTATGAATAAATGGTTTGGACCGTTGGAAACTAGGTTCCAAGACCTTCATTTTGGTATATAATATGTCCCAAAACAACCTCATATAACACATGAAATATATTACTCAAAATGTTTTATTACAAGGCAAATCCTTAGTCGATTTTTCCGCAACTTAAATCCGATTTTTCCCAAACTTTATATTTCATATCCAAACATCATATATAGTCATATATTGAATTTAAAAATCATTTAAATCATGATTAACAAGTCTCACATTCATCTTAACTTGCTTAAGACTTCAGTAAACCTTTCTTATCCTTGTAGAAGGATTTCGTTCTTTTTGAGTTTATATTAGATAATCCTATAATGATAGTGACATCTGAAGTACTGGGTATAACAACATTAAATAACTTTGTATACGTTCAAAGAAGATCTCATTTCCGAGCTTACATAAATTGACTTACGATATACTTTCATGTACAAAAACATGGGGTGTAACAGTTCACAAGCACGAGCATCTAGCTCGAGCGGTCCTCAGAACTGCATTTATACATTGGCAGGAAGACAGGATCAGGAGTCATCGCCTGATGTTGTTACAGGTATATTATCAGTCTCCTTATATGATGTATATGCACTGATTGACCCAGGTTCCACCTTATCATATTTTACTCCATTGGTTGCTAGTAAGTTTGGAATAAAACCCGAATTGGTTAAACCTTTTGAGGTGTCTACACCTGTTGGGGACTCAGTGATAGCTAAGCGGGTATATAGGGGTTGTATAATAGTAGTTCATAGTTGATCTACCATAGCGGACCTAATCGAGTTAGATATGGTAGAATTTGATGTTATCATGGGTATGGATTGGTTGGCTTCTTGTCATGCCAACGCTGATTTTAGATCAAAGATAGTCCAATTTCAATTTCCAGGGGAGCCTGTTTTGGAGTGGAAAGATAATACGGCATCGCCGAGAGGTACATTTATTTCCTATCTCAAGGCAAGGAAGATGATCAGAAAGGGCTGTATTTATCACTTAGTTCGGGTTCATGATATGGAAATAGAGTCACCAACCATTCAATCCATCCATGTGGTTAATGAGTTTCCCGATGTTTTTCCTGATGAACTTTTGGGTCTTCCGCCAGAGCAAGGAATTGAATTTGCTATTTACCTACTACCAGATACTCATCCAATATCTATTCCTCCCTATAAAATGGCCCCCGCAGAGTTGAAAGAGTTGAAGGAACAACTAAAGAACTTGCTTGAAAAAGGCTTTATCAGACCTAGTACATCACCGTAGGAGTGCTTGTGTTATTTGTAAGGAAGAAAGATCGTTCCTTATGGATGTGTATTGATTATAGACAGTTGAATAAGGTGAAAATCAAGAATAAGTACCCGCTCCCGAGGATTGATGATTTATTTGATTATTTCCAAGGTGCCAAGTATTTTTTAAAGATAGACTTGAGGTCCGGGTACCATCAGGTAAGGGTTAAGGATGAAGATATTCCAAAGATATCATTCAGGACCAGATATGGGCACTTTGAGTTTCGTGTTATGTCGTTCGGTTTGACCAATGCCCTAACAATATTCATGGATATGATGAACTGTGTGTTCGGGCCCTTTTTAGATCTATCCGTAATTGTATTTATCGATGATATATTAGTGTATTCTCGTTCAGAGGCTGAGCAAGTAGATCATCTGCGTACTGTGCTCAGAGTTCTACAAAAAGTGAAGTTGTATGCAAAATTCTCTAAATGTGAATTCTGGTTAAACTCTGTAGCTTTCCTTGGGCATATCATTTCGGGTGAAGGCATCCGGGTGGATACACAAAAGATTGAGGCAGTAAAGACTTGGCCTAGACCCACAACACCGACAAAGGTTTGTAGCTTTCTCGATTTGGCAGGCTATTACAAGAGATTTGTAGAGGGATTTTCTTCCCTTTCAGCACCTTTGACAAAGTTGACTCAGAAGGGAGCAAAGTTTCAATAGACTGACGCTTGCAAACGGAGTTTCCAAGCATTAAAGAATATATTAACTTCAGCACTGGTTCTAACACTCCCAGAAGGGACCGAGGGTTATGTTATCTATTGTGGCTCCTTGGGCATTGGGTTGAATTGTGTACTGATGCAGCATGGTAAGGTTGTAGCTTATGCTTCTAGACAACTGAGAAAGCACGAGAAGAATTACTCAAACCATGATTTAGATTTAGCTGCAATGATTCATGTACTAAAGATGTGGAGGCATTACTTGTATGGCATTCATGTTGATATCTATACGGATCATAAGAGCCCCTAGTATATCTTCAGGCAAAAGGAGTTGAATTTACGTCAAAGAAGATGGTTGGAGCTATTTAAAGACTATGATGTTGATATTTTATACCATCCGGGGAAGGCGAACTTGGTAGCCGACGCCCTCAGCCATAGATCGATGGGTAGCATGTCATATTTATAGCCGGAAAAGAGGGGAATAGCCCATGATATTCATCAGCTAGCTAGTCTGGAGTTCGGTTACTGGACTTAGGTGATATTGGAATTACTATTCAGGATACGACAACATCCTCTTTAGTAACTGAAGTGAAGGAACGGCAGTACGAGGATCCTGTGTTAGTTCATTATAGGAATACCACCCCTCAGAAGGAGAAGACACCGTTTGAGGTTACAGAATATGGGGTCCTTAGATATCGAGGACGATTATGTGTCCCTAATGTTGCAGGGCTGCGTCGGCAGGTTATGGGAGAAACTCACTATTCTCATTATTCTATCAATCCCGGAGCGACAAAGATGTATCATGATATTAGGGAAGTATATTGGTGGGATGGAATGAAAAAGGATATAGCAGAGTTTGTTGCTCAGTGTCCTAACTGTCAGCAGGTTAAGATTGAGCATCGAAAATCCAGTGGATTATTGCAGGCTATGGAGATTCTGATTTGGAAATGGGAAATAATCAATATGGATTTCATCATAGGCTTACCTCGTACCCAGCGTAAGTTCGATTCAATATGGGTGATTGTTGATAGGCTTACAAAGTCAGCCCATTTTCTCCCTGTTAGGACTACATATTCCTCGGAGGATTATGCAAGGCTTTATATTAAGGAGATAGTACGACTACATGGTGTCCCTGTATCTATTATCTCGGATAGAGGAGCTCAATTTATAGCTAACTTCTGGAGGTCCTTCCAAAAAGGACTCAAGTAAGTCTTAGTACAACATTTCATCCCCAGACAGACGGACAAGCTGAGCGTACTATTCAGAGACTTAAGGATATGTTACGAGCTTGTGTGATAGACTTCAAAGGTAGCTGGAATGATCATCTGCCGCTTATTGAGTTCGCATATAATAATAGTTACCACTCCAGTATCCAGATAGCTCTGTACGAGGCTTTGTATGGGCGCAGGTGCAGATCTCCTATAGGGTAGTTTGATGTTGGAGAATCTGGGTTACATGGGCCAGACCTGGTTTAGCAAGCCATAGAAAAAGTAAAGTTGATCCGGGATTGACTATTGACAGCTTAGAGTCGTCAGAGGTCATATTCTGACGTGCGGCGACGAGATTTAGAGTTTAGGGTTGATGACTGGGTATTCTTAAAGGTGTCACCTATGAAGGATGTGACGAGATTTGGCAAGAAAGGCAAACTTAGCGCACGGTATATTGGGCCTTATAGGATCATTCGAAGAGTGGGCCAAGTAGCTTATGAATTAGAATGACCCTCAGAATTGGAGTCTGCCCATCCGATTTTCCACATATCTATGTTACGGAAGTGCATTGGTGATCCTACCTGAGTGGTGGCCACTGATGATGTACAGATTACAGAGGACTTGTCATACGAGGAAATTCTGATTGTTGTCCTATACCAAAAAAAAACTACAAGAAAAACGCCCTTTAACGAAGGGAAAAATGGTCCTTAATAGTCAATTTTCGGTCACTCAAAGTCAATAGCGACCAAAAATATCTGGTCGCCACCCGTCGCTATAGCCTCCGCCGCTAAAAGTCAATAGCAACGAGATTGGGGTCTTGTCCTAAAATCTCATTTGAGACCAGTTTGAATCCTGGTCCCTAAAATACTTTTAGGCACCATATTTCTAGTCTCAAAATACAATATATTGGACACATTAATTTGGTTGTTAAATATTTTAGCTACTAGTTATTCCGGTCCCTAAAATAATTTTAGGAACCACATTAATTTTTTATTATTTCATTCTTGTGCTTGTTAAATTCAATCTATAACAAGAATTAAAAAAAAAAAACTGATAACAACAAGATAATACAGAGATAAATTTTGTTTTACAAAAATTGATTAACATTCCAATTAATGGCGCCATTTACATGTATAATGTAACTAAGCAATCACAATATTGTTACACAATTCCTGCAAAAAAAAAACCTAGCTAACATCCCTAGACATTATACAAAGTCCAAATTCCCAGCAAAATGAGAGTCAACTTATATTTCCTCCAAATAAGCTTTTTTACTTGCAAACGTCAATCTCCAAAACCTGTAACAAGTATTAAAATATCTTCAGAAAAACCAATAAAGATCAACAAGATGATTGGTTAAATAATATTGTATAATTTTACCCTAACAATGATCAACCTACTTACCAAAATTCATTAAGTGTGGTCATCTACCCTACAAAAGTTAAATGGCAACGTAAAAGGGATTGCATGAACACAAAAAATTGATTTAGACCTTTGGAAAATATGTTCAAGGATAATTTTATCTGTTATCCCGGGTTTAAATGTTAAATACAATTATGAAATAACTTCTTGGCTAAAGGTGAAAATCACAAATCTTGACAGAAGCACAACTATATTTCATGCTAAAGTAGTATAAGCTTTGCCCTTGAGCAGGTTTAATGCGTAAATACATAGATCATTGTCATCATTTACTTTAAAATAAGGTATTAAACTTGAAAAAATTGATTTTTTTTCTATTCTTTTGGTTGCAGAATGTAAAGTAACCAATCTTTACTTTAATGGGATTTTTTAAGATTCTGCAAATATAACTTAGCTACATACGCATATTAGTAACAGCCATTGATTTCCAATAGAAGCAATCGAAAATGGACAGAACATGCTGAGAATTAAGGTAATATACCGCCGATGATACAAAGTGGGTTGCTAGACCACAAGCAAGCATTTCAGCACAATCCAACCTAGAACCAGTATGACCAGCATATTCCCCTGTCAAAGAGTACAAGAAATTAGAAATAAGCCAAGGGGAAACGAGACTTAACATTTGGTTTTTTTGTTGTTGAGAAAGAACAAGACTTAACATTTGTACCTACAAATTCTATGTGCATCGTGGTAACATAGGAATTAGCCCTCCCCAATAATAGCAACATAATCAGAATAAAGAAATCAGGGAAAAAAAGGATCATATCTCTAGATAAAATCGATATCATTCATTCAAACATGTCACGATTTTTACATGTCTTCAAAGGCTAACATTTGTAATGATCTAAGAAATTCATATGAAAACAAGGGCTGATATTTGTAATAATTTAAACTTGACAAATTCAGCCATCACGTGAAACCTAAGGCTGACATCCAGCTAACTGTCCAAATATTTGTAGGAAAAATATATTTTGAAGACTTCCATGTGAAGAGTATTGACCTAAGTATGATTATATAATGAGTGCAAACTTACTTTTAAAATGAGGAAACATATGATCAATGAATGAATAATGGTGGAAAACAGATAAAAAGAATGTCCAGAGAATTCGGAAACTATAAGAGAAGATGCACCAAAAGGTGTGTATCACAAGCTTTTGAACCCCTTCTGCAGGAACTAAGGATCAATTTACTGTTTCTGACTCTTTCTTACTTTTGATTTCAAGGATATCGGGGAATTAGAAGTAGCATTTAATGCAAAGTAGCTGAGCTGACCATTGCTCTTAAGATAGCCTAAACTAGTGAGCAGCCAGGTAGTGACTTTTAATTTCCAACGACAAGTAGCAAATAACTTCACACTGACACTTGAATGAATTACATCAACAACAGTAAATTCCTTCAGAAATATAAACAATGTGGCAAGTGAAATTACCAAAAAATCCTGGAAGTCTTGATAAACAGTAAGAGGCACCTATATCAGGAAAGAATCCCAAAGCTATTTCGGGCATGGAAAAAACCTACAGGCAAAAAAAACATAAGAATATGTTGGACTTGAAATTTCTGGTATCACATCAACAAACATCAAGTTAGAAAAAGGGTTATGTGTGATCTTCAATGCAAATCCGAGGTACCAACTAAAGCTCATGAAAATATACAATTTGTAAGGTTTTGCTCTTATTTGGCTAGTGTTGTTCCACTGGAACATTCATATATTGCTGCACTCCATAAGAAAGGAAATAAAGAGACAAATTTCAAGCAAATGCCAAAGAATGTGGCAAAGATCAAATATAAAAGGGAAAGAAGACAACAAGATAAAATCTACTTCAAGTACAGGCAATACCTGACTTTTCTGTTGCAACTCGAAATCTACCACGTACAGAAACACCAGCCCCGCCTCCCATGACGATTCCATTAAGGATGGTAACCTTCAATGGGCAGTTCAAATAAGATTAAGGAGTACATCAAAGAAAGTTATATTACAGAACTAAAATAACACATAACCTAGCTTAACCTAGGGTTTGCTATATTTTGCCATAACATAGTTCAGTATGTACTACTTTTGGAAATAATTATCACCAAAGTTTCAGTTACCTGATAAGCATAAATAAATAATTAAATATATGACTGGGGACATTAAGCTATGTGCACTTAAAATTACTAAGTTATTGAAAAAATTAAATATCATCCAGAAATATCACAGTTGTCACCAGCCATATCTGGTATGTCTCTCTGTATTGTTAGCACATAGTAGCATTACCTTTTATTTCTTTTAACTAATTAAAGTCTAGACTTTTTAAATGCCAAAGAGTAGCTTGACTTCTAAGCCTTACACTGTTTAATTTGCAGTCGATATCAACTTTGTAACAGAAAATTCGGAAACATAGATAATTTAACACTTAAGGAATGATAGCACTACTTTGGCACCTGGTGAAAGAAAGCCATATTTGGTAGCATCCATAGTGGATCTGACTCCATTTACTGTATTTGACTGTTTCACATTAAACTGGAGGTTACATAAGAATCAAATTAGAAAAAAGATATAGGATAATGAAAGTACTCTAAAATGCACATAACCTTTTAGACTAAACGAATAATACTCCACGAGAATGTAAGCTGCAAATTGATTGTGAAAACGGAGAACACACAATTTCTCAGTTCAACACTTATCAACTAGTTTACTAATTGTTACTCATCAACAATTTCTCTGGTCTTTAGAAGTACATAACCTTCATAGCAATGAGCTAGAATTAATAAATTATTAACCAATGATTAAATTTAAGAATCTAAAAGTAATAATATACCACAAGAAAGAGAAAAGCTGTAAATTAATTGTCAAAACAAAAGGAACAAATAATTTCTGTATTCAACACTTATCACCCAGTGTACTAGTTACTCATTCTATATATTTTTTGTTTATAGTTATATTATTTCATGCTTGTGAATTGAATTAAGTGAAAACTTGACTCTAACCCAACATTGTGACGGTCTTAGTACTAATATAAGAAAAGGACAGATAATAAAACTACCTAAAAATGAATACACTAAAGTCAAACACTCGATTCTGAAATTTTTTACTTTCGACTACAACGATAGAACTAAAATGCGGCTGATTGAAAATAGAGTTGTTAGGTATCATTTTGTTGAGTTACAAATGAGCCATAAATACTCCAGATGCTAAATTCATTAGCAAGCCACAAACAAGACTTTCTAAAGCTAAGCCAATATATACTAGACTCACTAAAAATTAAAGAAGATGAAAAAAAAACAACTAAATATTACATTATGTTTTCAAAAGATAAAAGGTTGTCTAAAATTCAACACTATATTCCTGCTACAAAAAGGATTAAAACATAGGAATTCACTAATAAACAATCTAAACAAAATGAAGATCTATTTTTACGGAAGATAAACAATTGACGACATATCTTTAATCCAAACTACATATAAAAAGGGGGAGTTCCTCTAAGCACTAACTGCAAAAAAAATGTTGAACAAAGTATAGAAGATGAAGAACAAATTAAAAGAAAATGAAACAAAGAAAAGGCTTTTACAAACATTTCAAAAAGAGGACACGCAAGAAAACACAATCTTGAAAAGAAACTGATTGTACAAAATCTTGCTGAGCAACCACAAAATAGAAGCGCAAAGACAAAAATACATTAGAAAAGCTAGATATAACAAAAACCCAGATGAGGAGTAATAAGTAAAGATTGTCTCATAGGATATATATAGAGAAATAAAGTGTGCTTACTTTGGGTAAGATAGTCGCTCATTCCTAGTTTGATTTTCTCCCCAAACCTGCACAAACGGATTGCAAACCTACTGTGACAGAGATGAAAGAGTGAAAGAGTAGAAAAATATAGCTCTGATTTTAGTATACATGCTATCGTTCATAGCCTTTGAGGGAAATCTGCAGACTTAGGTTTATGGAAGTGATTTAGGGATTTGAGGGAGATGAAATGTGAGTGGGAGCCAGCTAAGCTTTCTTTATTTCCTTGAAAAAGATAAAGATGTTAAGTTAATTTTCTTATATTTTATTCTAATTTGGCATGGCGCCTCTTTTTTGCGCCAAAACGTTACTCTTTTGTGACCAGATATCAACCCTTTTATGAACTAGACTTAATTCTCTTCGTTGATTTAATGAAAAATTAGAGAATTAAGGACCAACATATATTCTCATCCCTACTAGGGTACTTTTAGGGACCACATTCGAACCCCGTCATTAAATATTGGTCTCTAATAAGGCTTTTTCTTGTAGTGAAATCCGCAAGCTATCGCAAGCTATGGAATAAGGAGGTAGCCTCCATGAAAATACTTTGGAGAAACAACAATGTGGAAGAAATGACTTAGGAGGCCGAGGAAGACATGAAGTCTAAATATCCCTACTTATTCCCTCCTCTAGAGAAGGATCCGACTGAGACATCATAACCATAAGGTACGTGTATAAATTCTTGTGTTGGTTATTGTCATTGGTCGTGTGAGGCCATTGTCGTTATTGATGATTGTGGTCCTGTGTGGCATTGGATTATTAAGCTTCTATAGGGAGAGTTGGTAGTAGTGTTGTTACAAAGGCGACCCTCCCAAAGTTATATAGATCCCGGGGAGTCGAACATTCGAGGACGAATGTTTCTAAGGGGGGAAGGATGTTACATCTCGCGTTTTCGTATGTTAAAAGTTTCGTCTTCAGTTAATTGACATAGACTCGGCGATGAGATTATCTCGAGGTTAACGTATTTATGCTATTTATAACAAGCGATAAATAAGTGTCATGAAGGATAAAAGGTACACGAAATAAAGAAAATGAGTTTCGCTGAAAGTGGTCAATTTGGGATAAAATACGGGTCGAGCGATACTACTCGATATTTATGAACTAGTACCATACAAGGTACCATATGGCTGTGATAATATGATGTATAAAGTATATTAAAAATAAGTAGAATTTTAAGTAATTTGAGATAATTTTTAGTTATGCAGGAAATTGGTTAATTATCAAATAACGAGACATTACCTAACTAATTATTAAAAAAATGAGATAAGATTAAACTCCCTCCCGCAAGAAAGATAACGTGGCAGAAGGCCACAAATTAAGGAATGACTCTTGAGTCATTCCATGTCTAGGTGTCGATCTAGGGAAAATTAGAATTTCAAGTAAGATTTAAAATCAAATCTTGTCCATTCCATTTGGACAAAAGAACCAAAAACATTAAAAATTCTAAAGCAAGAGACATATTCCATTCTTCCTAGTTCAAGATACTTCAAAGAACAAAAGCCTAATTCATTCAAAATACTTCAAAGAAATAGAAGCTTAATTTCGTTCAAAATACTTCAAGGAATAGAAGCGTAATTCCATCAAAATTTTGTGGTTACAAAATAGTACGGTGCAATCTTCAAGAATATTATATGGATTTTTCCCTACTCCAGGTATGTTAAGGTCATCCCTTCTTTCTTTATGGCATGGTCCAAGTTATACAGAAGAAACGAGCAAATGTACCGTTTTCATAAACGATTATATTCATAGAAATACTAGGGGTCTCTGTGTTCTTGATTCCCCTTGTGATATATTATTATATCTTCTGTTCATGGGTCTCAGAATAATACGCAATTGAAAAAGTTTATCCGGAAGGAATATTGAGATTATTACATATTTTTCATGCATTTCATTCATTTATACATGTACATTGACCCATGACCATATGGCGTTATATACGCGTATTATATATATATATATATATATATATATATATATATATATATATACATGTATATGTACATGTATATACATATATATACATGTATATATATATATATATGTATATATATATATATATATATATATATATATATATATATATATATATATATATATATATACATATATATACATGTATATATATATATATATATGTATGTATGTATATGTATGTATGTATGTATATGTATGTATGTATGTATGTGTGTATATGTATGTATATGTATGTATGTATGTATGTGTGTATATGTATGTATATAGGATATGGGAAAAAGGTTACAGCATATTATACGCGCCACCACCTGATCAGTTGGTATATGTTGATGATGTTGCCCACAACGGCCGAGATAATATGATGGGATGCCCTCACTGGCTTGATGATGTTATGTACACCTATACCCATGCATGACACGATATTTATATACGCATGTATAATATTATAAATGCTTTAGAACTTACAAAGTTATTCAGATTTATAGATGGATTTCTTTATTCCATATTTCATCTATGCCTTTTTTCGTACAAATTTTCATGTCTTACATGCTCAGTACATTTTTTGTACTGACACCCTATTTCACGGGGCTTGCATTTCATGACCGCAGGTGCAGGTAGGCAAGCTGACCGTCCTCCTTCTTAGGATCCTTGTTCAGCGCGTGTTGGCGTGCTCCACTAGATCCGGAGCTGCTTTTAATTTTGGTACGATATGTTTGTGTATGTATATATATATNTGTTTAGAGGTTTGTAGACAATATGTCTAGTTGGATAGTATGTGGCCTTGCCGACTTCCAATTTTGAGGTACATAGTTGTCTATAGTAGCCTTGTCGGCTCACCCTACGTATGTTGTACGTATATGTACGTATGCCTTTTTGGGCAGGTTTCCTTTATGTATATTATTCTCGTAATTCAGCAGATGTTATTAATGTTTACATCTTAAACGCATGCTTAAGGATGTTCGACACGTAGGATTCGAGCACCCGTCGCGGCCCATCGGTTTGGATCGTGATAATTCGGGCGCATAGATGCACTATTTGGTGACTTAGTGGTGATCTGCTCTCCATTCTTCAATCTGCAGCACCCGGAGTCTCCTTCTTGTTATGTTTATTATTTCTTTCTATTTTATTTTCGATTGTATCTAAAGTGGTTTTGTATATTCTACTAGATTGCTCATGCACTTGTGGCATCGGGTTTTGGGGGTTTATAGTGGATGTTCACGGTTGTACCTAATGTTATTATTATTATTTCATTTTATGTTTTGTTCTTACTCTGTGACTTAGTAAGGAAGAACATATATTTTTATGGTTTCTAACTTCCATTCCATTTACTGAATGAAATTCTCAATTTTAAAAGTTAAGAATGAATAAATTATGTTGGAGGTTCACCATTGGCTTGCCTAATGGCATTGTTAGGTACCATCACGATTTATGGTAGAAAATTAGTAGTGACAAGTGTGCATATGAGGGTACGTCTTAAGTTAAACAGTCAAATATCGGCATATTGACTAGGCAATATGAACTATTTAAGATGAAAGAGGGGTAAATATTTCTTGAGATGCATACAAGGCTTATGTCAATCATCAATGAGGTGATATCTCTTTGAGAAATTAACCCATGAAACAAAATTGTGAGAAAAATTACCAATTATACTACCACCCTCATGGGATAGCAAGGTTAATGCAATTATGAAGAAAGAAATCTGAAATGAAATCAGTGACTCTTGATGATCTAATTGAAAACTTGGAGATATATGAGTTAAAGCAAAATCAATATTGTCTAAATCGATAGTTTTATAAACCTCGCACGCCTAAGAACTTGGTCTCAAGACCACTTAGAAGTAGGACATTGAAGAAGATGACATGACACTGCTTACTAGGCATTTCCATCGAGCAATCAGAAAGAGCAGATTTCTGAATAAAGGTAGTTCATTCAAACCTAAGGTTACAGAGAAAAATAATATTAATAGACACTACAAGTGTGAAAAAAAAATATTACTTCATCAAGGACTATCCACTATGAGAAACTGAGTAGAAGAGGAACAATCCTACTAAGGCAAAACAACAAAAAAGAGACTGGATCCTGGATGCAGGATGACAAACAAGATCATGGACAAAATTTTAAAAAGGTCTATGACTTCTATGCAATCATCCTCAACTGATAAGTTTGATGATGATGAAGAAAGTGATGAAGATGATCAGTCACTAACGGCCAAAGAAGTTAGTTTTTCAAAACTTAAAGATCTCTTGGAATTGATGGAAAACTCCGACTCTGATGTTGATGATGAAGAACAACATGTGGTAAACTTTCATGATATCAAAGATCAAATTCATACTTACTCTAAATAGAAATTGATTTCCTTGTCTGGTGTCCTGATTGATGCATATCAAAAAACAATTATGCTGAAAAGGAATCACTAATGAATGATTATGCATCTCATAGGTGATAATAAAGTCCTAGAAGTAAGTATGGAGACCTTGAAATTTTCATTGCTGATCTGAAGAACTAGGTTCTTATACTTGAAGATGAGAAAGCATCCTTAGAAATTAAGAATAAAAAAATTATTTGATGCTCCCACCAAGAGTAAGGACATAACCACAAATATTTAGGAGAAACTAAAAAGTGAACTAAAGAGAGTTAAAACCAATCTCCTAGTTGAATCTGAAAATGCTAGGGTGCTTCAAGAGAATTTGGATAAGTCTAAGTATGTATTAGCAAGAAATTACAAATGGACGAGGTCTTCATAGATAATGTTTAAGTTTCATGAAAATAATAGTAGCAACAAAAAGGGTCTAGGACATACTAAGGCTAAAACCCCATATAATCAACAATGCAAGTATGTTGATATCCTTGACAATAGCCTATGCACACACTGTGATAATAATGGACACTTCAAAGAAACATGTACAAATTGAATCAAAGCAAATCTTAAGAATGTTATATTGAGAAAAGAAAAGTTATTAGACCTGGTTCCTCCCAGAAAAGTGAAAGATTATCAGGATGGACTAAAAAGAATGTGATTCATTCTTTTTTTTTTCAAAGAAATGGACACAAGTTTGTCTGGGTTCCTAAAGCTAACTCCTGAATGTTTTGGCAGACTAAGGTGAGAGGAAGCAAGAACTATTGGTATGTGGATAGTGCTAGCTCCCGCCATATGACTGGAAATAAACATAATTTCCTCTCACAAAAAGCCTACCAAGAGGGTAATGTAGGCCTTGGAAATGGCAAGAAAGGTAATTGTCACGAACCCAGT